AGAGAGAGAGAGAGAGAGAGAGAGAGAGAGAGAGAGAGAGAGAGAGAGAGAGAGAGAGAGAGAGAGTGGGAATGGATGGGTGTGAAATTGCGACCTTCCTTTTTCTGTCCTTTGTATAAATTTATGGTCTCGGGCGAACCGCCATCGTTTTCATCTCCGATCCATCTCCTTTTTGTATCTTGATGTGCTGATCTGCTCTCCCTCCTCCTCTTTGATGCATGTTGATGGTTGGGAATTAAAACGTCTCGAGTCGTTGGATGTATGTGCCAATTTGCGCCTCATCTTTGCATGAATGAATGCATGTATGTACGGGGATTCGACGAATGCATCACTGAATGGTTGCGCTGTGCGCTGGGGAAGAGTTGTGAGATTGCCATTTGGTTTTTGTTGATATAAATGAAGAGAGTATGACTCTGTCGAAAACATGGATGTCTGGGATGGTGAACAATTGCTTTCTGTTATGCATGACATGGGTTTTTACTTGGATTAGATGATCTCACGTCGGACTTTCTGAAGAACCACAAGGAACACCAGAGACGGTCCCATCGCCTGCAGGCGCGATCTCAAGTGCCCACGTGCAAGTGTGACCGCCAGGACGTGGCTTACACGCGTGTATACGAGACCCGCCCGCGGAAGCCCATGATGGAATCAACCCATGTTGAGACCCCCTTTTACGTCACGGATCGCGAGAGCCTGAGGCATCGGCGATTCCGGGAACGTTGGGAACAAGAGCGCCTATCAGGCCGCGCGACCCCGGGCCCCGTTTTTGGAATTTCCTTACCACACTGGAACAGAGCGCGTATGCGAGTGGGACATCGAACTGGCCTTAAGCGCGATCCCGTTTTTGCCCCAATTTCCCCACTCGCACACACGCCATGTCATCGCTGAACCTGGGATGCCATTGTCGAGACTAATTACCCTCCCTACCGCCTCGTAGTCCCCTTTCACTGCCTTACGGCGGTCCCGTGGTGCGCGATCGGCCCTTACTGGTCGCGGATCCCGTGCTCAGAGTGCCAGCAAGACCGCGCTTACCGCACGGCGAGGTTTGTCCGCCGAACCCGGACTGAGTCAGACCAGCGATCTCACAGCCTTCGACTGAGACCAGCCTCGTCGGATTCCGAAGTCTTCCACGAGCGGCGTCAGTGGCTGGTCGCCCAGTGCGACACACACAGCGTCCCCATGGTCCATCAGATACGGGACCGACCGCGACGACGACACTCACACAGGAGGTAGCCCGGTCTCCCGAAGTCCAATATAACTTGGGATTACCCGGTTGCTCAACTACCCCTAAGCTTGCCACAGGAGATATCAATTCTGACCTGGGACTCCACTACAATTTCCAAAAATCCTTGGCACACCCCTTTTCGCACTTCCAGGCCCCCGTCCCACTCTGAACAGGAAGTCACGCTGGGCGTGAGGTTTGGGCGTCACAGAGTTGCTGATTTCAAAAGCATGGCAGGTTTTCGGTTATGTTTAGGGCACTGCTTTGTGCCTACGTTAATATGTTTTAGAAGTATTTGCTGATGCATAGTCATTCACTTACAATGGAAGGACGGAGCACTGTGCGAGCTATTTCCCTCCGGAAAAGGGCTGCAGTGACTGTAACCTGCAGGCGTATTCCAACAAATACCCAGTCATCATAGACAATCGGCTATGTCTCAACAATCCTACATGGCCCTGGCCGTTTCTGTTCTATGTAAGGGACGCTGGACGCTGGACAGCGTGCATTGAAGAGAAGCACGAGGTTAAAAGCAGTGCATATGTTTAATTGTAAGGTTCAAACTTCATATGTGTCACGTATAGTCAGTCGAGAGGGGGGGAGGTGGGGAGCAGCAGGGGGGGGGGGGTTGCTATACCCTCCCCCTGCCCCGCTCGCCCTCATGCGAACTTTGCTCTGCTGAAGTATAAAGTGAAGCATCCTGGAGACATGGTTGACACTGCTGTAGACACGGTGGCTGCTATCTCTGCTGTTATTGCTGTGCTGTGGCTCATGTTTATGCTCTACTGCAGCTATTGCCATTGTCATGATGTGGTTGTTGTTCCTGCTGTGTTGTGGCTACGGTTGGCTTATGTCATAGCATAGCATCACGTAACTGGAACAACCGAAGCACAACAGTAGTAGCTATGTAGCTGTCGATGTTCGTTTGGTGAGGCTCTTGTTGCCCGAAGTCCCAGTGTGAGTATGTCCCAAAAGGTCCCAGAAGTCAGTATGCCCATAACTAGGGACAGACATGTTGAAAAGAAATCCGGAATCTCGGTGTGAGGGCACGCTCACACTAGGTACCAAATCCCCATTTGCCCCCAAAAAAAGGGTTCCCGGACAGTCACACATGGTGAACATCTGCCCAAATTCTCAAAAGGGGTGACCATTTGTCAGCGGCCTGCGAAGCCGCGGGGGGAGGAAATTTGTGGTGACCTCTGGAGGTTACTGCAAATTCTCAATCTTTTTCCAAATTACCGTGCAAAATTGGAGAAAAAATGGAACCCCACGATATCAGCGGCCTATCAATTCACGAAAAGGGGATTTGGGGAAATGGGCGCACACGCGGAGTGGTCAGACGCGCGGAGCACCAGCAGAGAGGTTCGTATGGACACCCGTTGGTGCGAACGGCCAGCAGTAACGAACCAAAAAAAGAAGAAGAAAAAAACAGATTATTAGAAACGAATAATTGCATTTCCCATTTGAGGTATCCACCGTGTGACGGGCGCCCTCCACAAGCACCTCGCAGAGTGCGATGTAGCGACCTTGTGGTTAGCGTGTTGGGAACACAGTGTGACCGGCCAGGGCCGCATTTCCTCAAAACGGCCATAACGGTTCCCATTTTCCCATTTTTTGGGAATTTGGGTACCTAGTGTAAGGAGCTGTAAGATGCAAATGTTGCCCCCCTCCAGCGCGCGCGCGCGCGCGAGAGAGAGAGAGAGAGAGAGAGAGAGAGAGAGAGAGAGAGAGAGAGAGAGAGAGAGAGAGAGAGAGAGAGGATGAGCAAAATGGGAATGAATCT